GCCTTCTAGTTGGCATTTCTCCCTCCTGTTTTGAGAAATTGTATTGTAAACAGTACATTCCAGGTGGATGTGGGCTTACCCGCAATGTCTGTGCTCGCCTCCGTGCAGGACGACCCTACGGCTTTAGGGTTTAGGGCGATGCTCTTTTGTTGAGAGTAGCAGTCCTGCATACAATCACTCCAGGTACAAGACCCTGAATACTTCTCTAGTAATTTCTATGTTCCTTTCCATTCCTATGCAATTTTCTTTCCCATTCCTGTGCTAAGACTAAGACCCTAAAAGCGATAGTCGTTTCCATTTCTTTCGCATACCTACTAACCACCCACCCTAAACCCTAAACCCTGAACCCTATGTCAGTGTCATCTCCGCCCTTGGGCCAGGGTCTAGGGTTTAGGGTTTAGGCCCTCCCCAACGAGGATTCTTACAGACCGTAAACGCTAAACCCTAATAGTAGTATTGGGTACCTACCCTACTGAGGGTTCAACTCTTCCTCCGTGGGGGTTTGGGTCTCCCTCCCTGAGGGTTTGGGGGACTGAGGCTTTGCTAGTCTGTACGTAGGATCAGTAGGTAGCAAGACCCTCGGTCTGGGATCCTGTAGAGGCCTAAATAAGGACTTGAGGTTGAGGGACATCAGCCCTACATCAAGGAACCCCCCCTGGGCGAGAAGTTATACGGTGGCGACCCTTAATTAAGGACTATATAGACCTCATATAGCCCAGTTACGCTTATATGGGCCATACATGAGTCTTATTTGGGGGCACCTACCTAGTAACTACCCACCTGAGGGTGCCCTTGACTACCCTCAGCCCTAACCCTAAGGTCAAGCTAGCGGATGGAGGCAAGTAGGTGCCGTTTAGAGTTTAGATGGACCAAAGCCGATAAGAACGAATCAAAAGTACCGTTATTCTACAAGGAGAAAGGATGTCAAAATGATGGTTCCCCTTTCGGCCCCTTGTATAACCCATAGCGCAATATAAGCCTAGTTCCCATTTCATTGTTCATGTTCTTTGCCATTAGATTCTCATTTACGGGGGTAAGGCTCCAACACCCTAAGACCGTAAGCCTTAAAGCTAAACCTTCAAACCCTAGCTGAAACACCAAAACCCCTAAGCCCTAAAGCTTTAGGACCCTAAACCCTATGTCATCCCTATACTATATATGCCCTATACTATATATCCCTACATAATCCCTGCAGAACCCTATAACCAACCCTATATATCCTTATATAACCCTTTATATCCCTGTAGACTCCCCTTAGACGGAAGGGTTCGGGTAGGGATGTCCCGAATCCTTAATGTTTGTACCCCTAAGTGTTGGGTCCCACATACCCTTGTTGAGGGCCATATTCCATGGTTTAGGGACCCAAAACCCAAGGGTACAAACCCTAAGGGTCCAAAGGAAAACTCCCTAAATAATAGCCCTAAACCCAGAATAACAGCCATAAAGGCCATTATTTTACATACTTTTGGGGTTCAGGTAATACCCAATTCCCACAAACCCTAAGGGTCCAAAGGAAAACTCCCTGAATGTCTTGGGTAGTAGTTTCCATTTTATTTTCCATTATCCCAATATAACCCCAATATACTACAGTAGTGTCCATTCTATTTTCCATTCTCCCAAAAGGGATGTCCCGAATCGCTTTGATTCCTGCAGCTTTGTCTCAAGCTCGACATGACATGAACGATTTAGGGTTTAGGGATTAGGGTTTAGGATTTAGGGTTTAGGGATTAGGGTTTAGGGTTTAGGGCGTCGACCTGCGCAGGGCTGTGTATCCATG